TCGAGGTGAAAAACTCAGTTGTTTGCGGCGGCACATCTGTCGGAGGAGGGCTCGTTAACGTGTACCCTGGTTCGTAGGTAGAGAATGCACGACGGAAAAGTATATAATGCCCGGGCTGGATAGTAAATTTTATAAAATAATACCCTCTACTGAGGCTGCATATTCATTTTTCCGGAGGGTCCTCCCTACGGTTCCCGGTGTGTCCGGGGCAGAGTCGTCTACATATGTATGAGCTTCTGCTGGACTCCGCTGGTCATGCCTCGGCAAATCGAGCTTTCTGCCCTTTATTTCTGCTGGCAGCGTTATATCCCCTGTGTGTACGTGTCCGGAGCCGAATAAACAACCGAGGCTGACCCGAAAAAAAAGGCCGGGTAAACCGGATGATTAGCACTCCTCGCCTTCCTTCCTTCCTTCCTTCCGTGTGCAAGCTGCATAACGATGCTCAACTTTTGGATTACTTCGTGCAACCGTAACTCTGCAACCGAACGTGCGTTGCAACGCTTAGGAAATCCATCTCGACGTTGCTTTTTCGTATTGTTTCACTTTCTTTCGAATTAAGAGAACCTCTACCAGAATCACTGTAAAGATAACGAAATTAAATTTGACGAATTAAAAAAGAAAGAATAGAAAGACGTAGAATAGTCAATAAAATAACGTTGTGAAAACAAAAATTTGGTATACCTGAGAAAATTGTGTATCACTGGAGCAAGTGTTCCAAGAATGAATTTGCCAATCGAAATAGGAAAGTTTCAATTTTTGTTTCTCAAGTGACGCAACATGGACTGTAGTACATTCTTCAATTATTATCAAGATGCTTTTTCAGTTTACCAGCTCGAGATCGATATCAGAAGTACAGTTATCCGTCGCAATTAAAAAGAAGGAAGAGGGCCGAGAGTTTTCTCAAAACTAGAACCGTGTCCTAAACAAAGCGTGACGAAAAGTCCGGGGCCGGCATAAATCTCGCATATTCTGTTTCTTATGGCGTTCAGAACAGCGCGGTGCGGCGGTCAGTTTCCCTTGGCGTCTAAGAAAAGCAACGCGCTCGCTCGCTCGCTCGCTCGCTCGCTTGCATTAAAGAGCAATTAGCCGCGGCTCGCGAGCACGCTGATGCCCGGAAGCGATAGAAGCGGGCCGCGCGTGCCACCCTTACCTTTTCTTCGTCTACGAGCGTACCTGTTCGTGTCTGCAAACACATCCACGTCTCTCCCGTGTTTGCTTGCAGGCTCGCCTCGTGGTACTTCCCCTGTGGTACTTGCCTTCGCTGCTAGAATTATATTCGCCTTACCGCTGTGCTACAGAAAAGTACGCGCAGAAAGAAGAGACGATTAATCTATGCTGAGAGCTGATTCACTCTTGAATACAAGTGTACGAAGGAAAAGTAAGAATATTGTTGGATATTTATTTATGGAATCTAGAAATACGTTCAGAAAAGATTTGGATAAAAATCGCATCATACTACCTTGAGTAATTTCTTTATTAATTCTATGATACATTGTTCTTTAACACAGAAGAACGAAGATGGAAATGGTTTTTAATTCTTGAAAGATATAAAACGATTCTTTTTCCTCCGTTGGTTCTTTATAAAGTCGTTAATGATCCCATTTCCTTCCTTTATTCTCCGCCCGGATATTCTCCACCTGTTTGGGGTCAAATGGACTTGGTGCTACGAAATGGATAACGTTAACGAGCAAATAGAAGCAGCGGTCAAGAAAAGAATAATCCTTAATTGGTTAAATCGATCATAAAAGTATACCATAGCTCTTAAACAAGTGTATAATTTTCCTTTTGTTCTCCATTTCAATTCAAGATAACTTAATTAACGATAAAACAATAAAACTGTCGTATAAAAGATTACATTAATTTCCCGTGAATTATTGTATATTAATTTTCCTCTTTTTGCGTAACAAAGAGAGAGAGAGAAAAAACAGCAAGATCTTCGAAAAAGGAGACGTCAGATGTTTCCCTGCTCTTCTTTATTCTCCGTTTCCCAGTGTTTCGGTTTGCTTGCCGTAGCAGCTCGCTCAATTACCATCGCAGATAATCATTATCGCGGAAACTGCATCGCTGGGCCTCATTGCCCCAATCCTTAATTAACCGGCGGCCAGACGGTAATTGGTACGAGCCGGTGTACGACACTCGATCCATTGGCGAGAACGAAGGGCACGTGGTGAATAACGTACCACGTATATCTCTCTACACGTCCACGAACTATAGTCTCTACATCGACACGACGTCCTTTTTCCTCGCGAACAACCGTAACGATGCTGGAACATGAAGTAATTCGATTGATAGATAAGAAATCGGGTGGCCCCTTTTTCACGTGAGTCGAATTAACATTATAATTTGTTATTACCTGTACACATGTGGTTTCAATGATGCTGTCAAGAGAATATTGATATTCAGATTAGATGCTTTCGTGTCTCGTTTTATCTTTTTTCACTCGGGATATGGTAAGATCAGATATATCTTTTTCTCCGTTATTTTCATGCCACTTTCGAAACACGACAGAAGGCGTATTATTACCTAACCTTAAAATTCCTCGATTAATCTATATACAACGAAATGTTCCCGGTCTATAATAATATATCACACCTTTTTCCCAATCAATTTTATCGATTCACCGTGAAATAAAGAAATAAAACGAAGGGCGTACGTACATTTATAATCGTTGTGCATCTAATCGAGGAGCTCTCCCCTGTAAAACGACGCGAGCTCAGTTTTCTGTAACTGGTTTCCGGCTTTTTCTAACGGTGGCGATCGATATCGTAAATCGACCGTTTCAAAATTTCCTTTCGCAGAAATTACACGTTCCCCGGGGGGAGAGGGGGCGGCCACTGCGATATGCAAATAGCGTCGTAATAATCGTTAGACAGCTTAATTATTGGCCTGCAAACATCGTCGATTGGAATTGGATAAAAGTCTTAGGAGGGAGCGTGGTACAGGACGTTCTAACGCGATCTTCCTCGCGATCCCAATAAAATGCTGGATGAATTTAATACCGTAAGTTGCACGTGCGTGCGCTCACGCGATCGTGCACGCATGCTACGGTTAATTGTAATTTATGCCCGGACGACTTAGGTTCGCGTCTCGCGCGGTTGCTTCATTTATATAGCCCGCGCTTTTTGTCTCCACGCGCCGTTTGATTAATTTCACGAAATAACCCGTTTAATTAATCGGCGACCGACTCATAAAACACGCACCCCACAGCGATATTATTCAACGCAAACAACTCGCGCATCGATGTTCAAGGCTTAAGGGCTTCTTTGCTCTATTCGCAATTTCCATGTAAAAAATCGATCACTCGTCTGGAGTTAACGATTGCGTAATGATTCAACGATTATGAGCATTTCGAAAGGAAAAATTTTCTTATTATAAAAAGTTTGCAGTTTAATATTACGTTGATTCGTAAGTAATGCCATTTTTAGGTACAGTGTAGATCTTTTTAATGTTAGAAGGGTATTTGTTTAATTTGTTATTTAATGATCTTATTACATGTGACACTTTTCCTAACCTACAACACCAACAAATTATTACCTCTTGCAATCTCTACGAAACAGTCTTAATGCCGAAGATTTCAGTTCAACACAAGATATTCTAGAGCATGTATGAATATTTTTTAATAAAAGCCCACCAAATTTTGTAACAAAAAAACATCGAAAAATGTTTGAATCAATGGAAAAGTATCACATCGAATAAAGGATATTGTATATTAAATTCGACGATCATTTATTTAATATTCAGAAGTTCTTTAAACGTTTAGTCGAAAAACGACATTTATTCCAATTTATCATCGTCAGAATGTTTAAATTCTCAAATTCATAAAAACTTGTTTTTACAATGTAAAGGTTAACTTGCACTCGAAACGCGTAAAGTTTCTTGAACATCCTAATATCAAAAGGGAAGTCTTAATGTCTTTATTCTCGCGTTTACGTCTTTCGGTAGAACAGCTCGATTTTCTACGGATCTTGCTTTGTTTCGATCGACGTTCCAGGGAGAAAAAAAAAAACGTGACGATCGAACCCCGTCGGAATAGGCTCACCAAGGCTGCCTACGAACAGGAGCCGACGATTATTGAGCGGGCAAAGATAAAAGGTCGGTTTGACTGCCATAAAGCAAAGTGCACGCGGCTCCACTTTATGCTGATCGATTTGTGGTGATTTTATAACTTCGCCTGTCCATAGTGGTTCCCGTGTTGTTGCCGCGGTTCAAACGAGCCGCGATATTTTATATCTGCGCGGTGAACGCAAAATGGAGCTTTACATATTCCAATGGTAGAGCCCAGACTTGCAGTTTTCTTTTAAGAAGTTGCTTTGTGCCACGTTCGGCGATCGAAGTCGCTGTTCGTGCTGGTTTCGAGACGTATCTAGTAAGAACGCCTACCGCTTTAATCTTTATTATAGAACAGCTTCAATTCAAGTATTATCAATTATAACTTTTATTTGTGAAAATATACATGTTGTCATATTTATTCTTTTATCGATCTTAGACACTTAATACATAGTACACTCTTAATGTATAAAACATATCTTTATTATTACTTTATTGCTATAAGACTATACTGGACGAAAGGTCGTAGGAAATAATAAATTTTTTTTTATAATTCCCTTATGCTGTATAAAAAATATTACACAATTAACAGTTCTAATCCTCATTGGAATTGCAAGTTTACCGCATCGTTCAGTATGCGGAGAAATATTTGCTATAGCTTTTATGTTTCTGTAATATTTCTCCCGTAATTATCGTATTTCTTCTATGAAGAAATTATATCTTAATAAGGCACACTTGGTGCAGATATGTTATAAACCTGCCGTAAACAATATCTGCCGAAATTGTACGTACATTCGAAAGTTTTAATATTTTTTTATGTTGCGTTTTTTTTTAAATCTATTTAACATAATTAATGGAGATCAGGGTATAGTCGGACAGTCTTATTGACTTTTCGTGATGTATGAACTTAAATATATGTTTATGTTATTAAATATAGAGATGTCTGGAAGACTTTAAATAGGACACTTTGATTCTGTCGAACCTTCCGGTTCTGCGGAAAGATCCTCAGCTGCCAGAGCGAGAACTTCTTCACATACACGTTTGTAAACCCACGCATTACCCTTTAATCGTTTCCTTCGGATACCGACTAATTTGTCGTTTGAAACACCCTCTAATAAGCAAACTTCTAACTCGAAAGAGCAAGCATTCCTGGAAGAAAATGGCCGTACTGTTTCTTTGTCGTCTTCTATATAATCCTCCGTTTCTCCTTGTAGAATAAACCTTGTATAAAAACATGTTTGTCATAAAAATAATAGGCTTATTGTTATCTAAAATTGTAGAAATGTTTTTAAAAGTTACCCTTTCTGATGGCACATAATTCCTTTACGACGAAGTGCACGACGTAATTGTGAGAGAACATATTTTGGATCGTCGCTAGATGTCGAAGATACATTACAAAGACCCTTAAAAAAAAAATAGAAATATAATAAATTTAAAACTTTTAATTATTTGTTATATAAGTAACCAGACACAAACTTTTCCGGAAAGTATATTGGGTTGATCAGGATCGACATTTTCGTTCTTCATACGCCTTTTTGGCGTAAGCACGTAACGCACACGATTCAAACCACGTTCCAAGCCCATCATTACTTTTCTTGCACTTCCCGGTGTAGATGACTGTGACCCCCTAAATATTTTTTTTTCTTCAATTTTCTTGTTTAAGTACTACTTTTATTAGTATTATTATTAATACTACATAATATACCTCGAGTCCGCTACTGGAGTATTAGTTGGAGTAGAAGCAAGCCTATCTTTTTCTGCAATTCTCTTTGTAGGAACTGTAATCAATTTTTTATTGGACCTTACATAACTTATATGTAAAATTCAAAACGTATAAAAAGCATGTATAATTAGAAATGAAAAGGAACTAAAAGATAGAGATAAGGAATAGTAAAAAGGTGTTGTACCTTTTAGAAGGGAATGGGATAAATAATTCTTACACATAGCTATTTGTAACTCCAAATTGTGTTTGTTCACAAGTCGTTGCTCTTCTCTGACTAATTATCTGCTTTTCACACAACTACAGCAATTTATGGCACTTGGAAACTTTCATTAAAGTTTCTAATTAGGTGGCTAGCATCACCTAATTAGAAGTAAACTTTAGAAAATGTATTATAAAACTAAGCACCATGGCTGTAATAGAACAGAAATACATCTAAAAGTTCTTTAATGAAAAGGGATATGTACTACAAATAACATTTTTCGTAGTAAAAAGTAGCTGTTAAAAATTAAAAAAAAAAAACTGTATCAATGCATCAATAGTAGAGAAACATATATAACTTTACACAACATACCAGGAGAACATGTATCATCCCCTTTACTTCTAAGTCGTTTTCTACCAGGTAAATGTGGCTCCATAAAATGGTTAGCTATATAAGAATAATACAATAATAATTATATAGTGTATTAATTTAAAAATATAGAAAAATGATTAGAAAACCTACTGGTTTCAGGTGTCTTTGGCAAAACCTTATAAGTTGCTTCTAATACTGGTGATTTAATAGATTTACTTCTTGGAGAACAATCAAGTTTAGTTATAATATTATTAACTCCTCTTTCACTCTGTGAATAATGAAATAAAACAAAATAACTTTAAATTATTTTTAAATATGTACCTAATGCATACTATACTACCTCAGGTCTAAAATGTGATTTTGCAGAAGATGATATTCGAAGTGAAAGTCCACGAAGCTTCCTGTCTAAAAGTAAAAGATATGTGGCAGTTTTATAATCAGTTCTGTCACTTTTTACTAATTTTTTCCATATATCTGAAGCATGTTCACCACATATTGCAGACATAGTACTTAATACATCATCATCCTTTTCAAACTATAAATATATTGTTTTTATTAAAATATTGAATTATATACATATTACTGAGAATTAAAACATATATATTTACATTTGTCTTATGAACAAATGAAACAGGATTAAGAAATCCTGCTGTAATCCATGGGTGATTGCACAGTTCTTGAATAGTAATTCTTTTTTTTGGATCTATCTGTAGCATTGCTCGTATGAGTCTTCTACTACTAGCTGACAACCAGCTTGGTTCATCATATTTGCCACTCTAAAATTTATTTTAGACTATTATCAATAATTTTTTCAGTAGAATTAAAGAAAGGTACAAATGAAGCTTACAAGAATCTTTCTATATAAACTCTCTATACTGTTATCATCAAAGGGGAGAAAACCACAAAGTAATGCATAAAGAAGGACTCCCATACTCCAAATATCTACTTCAGAACCTATAAAATAAACATACTAAACTTATTTGAAATAAAAATAATAATGATAGACTGAATTATAAGTATTAAGTACCTAAATATTTCCTTCCTAATATAAGTTCTGGTGCAGCATATGTTGGAGAACCACATGATGTTTGTAAATGTGATTCTATGCCATTTTTTGGTTTTGCACATAATCCAAAATCTATGAGTTTTAAATTTTCTTCTCTATCTAGCAAAACATTCTCCTGGATACAAAATAATATTGTATGCCACTTGTATAAATATTGAATCATCAAAGAAAAATATAACTTACTGGTTTTAAATCGCGATGAGCATATCCTAAGCTGTGTAAATAAGCTACTGCAGAGACGATTTGACGAAAAAATTTTCGTGATTCTGTTTCAGAAAGTCTATTTTTTTCAACTGTAAGTATAAACAAATATATAGTTTATCTTCTAGCGACAAAATGACATTATAAAAAACTATAAATTAAATTGTAATGCATAATATTACCAATATGATCGAATAATTCACCGCCTGAACAGTATTCTATTACCATAAAATAATGGCTCTCTGTTTCTATTACTTGATATAATCGACAAATATGTTGATGCAATAAAGTTTTTAACGCTTCGACTTCTAGTTTAACTCTTGGTAAATCATCCTGGGAATTAAAACATTTGTTGCATGGTATCATACTAATTTACCGAATTTTAAAATCCACTTACGCCCAGTGCTGTTTTGTCCATTATTTTGATAGCAACTTTTTCGCCGGTTGCAATATGTGTGGCGAGTTTTACCTTAGCGAAACCTCCGCTTCCAACAGTCTTTTCCAAATCGTACAAACCTTTAAGCGCAGCATATCGTACCATTGTAACAAAATTATGAAAAATTCACTGATGACTATTAATTATGTGCTGTCAATCACATCACTTTTGAACTCACAAACCCTAACGTAAACAAGTGTTGAAAACCAATCAAAGTCAAGCAACATACGTAGCTAGATTCAGAGTATTAATGGTACCAATATAAGGGCATAAGCTGAGGTGACGAACTTTTAGAAGTTCCATGTAGGAAAGGTTAGAGGACATGATTTAACGTGTAAATAATTTTTACTAAGGTTAAATTAAAAATAATTTCATAAACGTAAAATATAGTAGTTTCTTTTTTATTTTGAATAATGATTATACAACATATTGATACAAATATTTTTTAAATTATACGAAACAAATTATTTGTAGTTTACTATTTTACTATTTTACCCAAGCTTTGCAACTTTGTAAGAATAAACTTATTATGTGAAAAATAAGTTTGAAATTTTTCATTACGTTTGTGTACAAAAAGGATGAAAATACATAGAATAATTATTTATAAAGAACATTTTTGAATGCAACTTATAAGTATATATATTAATCACTGACTATAAAAGTATGTTTAATTTACATGATGCTATACAGATTGGAGATACATTTACTGTTAAACATTGTAGCTTATGTTTGTTTTAAAATTGTATAGAACTGAATATTCAAACAATTACATTTTTCAACACATTGTATTCACTTCGAAGTAATACAAAAATTATTAGTATATAAGAGATAA